ATGACCTACGGGATAGTTATGTTAAGGGAGCGCAAGTCCCTTAAACAGGTTCCAATTCGGCATTTCAACGTGGTTGCGCATATTGGAAATTTCCATCAGTTATAGTTTAGGAATAAAATAGCCTGATGCTTTGCATTGATGCAACTTGGAACTCAGCCATGCTCTTAGAGCATTTTTGCATTAAAATCGAATTTTGAAAAAAATTTCACTTACGTTGTTTTGTAGGTTAGGGCTCGATATACTGGCGGCTGGAAGGAAACATGAGACCGTACAATTTTTGTTTATTTATTTAATTCCCTGAACCGCCCTTGTTATGATATGGTACCTTGTTCTATCTAGTAGTTTACAAATATACATGTAAGCTTCTACAATTACAAGGCATAGGCTGTTCTTTTTTTGATTTCGAATTGAAAACACGTTGCGATCATATGCTAGTAATATTGAAGTATTATATACATATATGGAATTACTATAAAAAGTTGCAAAGAAGAAAGTATGCAATCTCAATCAAACAAATCTTAAGATTAACTTTTGTTGCATATTAATAAATATTTTTGCCTATCAAAGATTTATCAAACCAACTAAGCTACCAAAGCAAAATGAACCTATCCATTTAGACCAACACTATCCATAGCTGTAGAGTTTAGATAGATATGCTTTGGTTTACCAAATTCAAGTTAATCACATTAGGGGTATTCTCGAAGTCTTGCACGATCCACGGATTGCACGAAATGAAAAAATACTATTCCAAATTTCGAAGAGTACGAGAGCACCCTATTGCAATGTGGTAGCATGCATGGGTAGCAAGCAGCGAAATTATGTATCAAATACAATAACAAGAGACAGCACAAAAATGAAGTGAGCGAGATGAGAGAAATATGTAGCAATTCCAACAACAAAACAACTAGCACAGGGTCGCATTTATATTGCTATGCTATTTTGCAAAATATATACATGAGTTTCGACGTTGCATATTTTGCAGCGATAGGAAATGTTGTTTCCCATGTATTTTGTTGTTTTGTGGTTGCAGGTTATGCAATGCATGCAATCCGTGCTACGCGCAGTGGCTTTGCAAGATTTAGAAAATACCCCTATTTTGATTCAAATACAAGCATGTAGCATGTTATATGCTAATGAATGTACCAAAGTAATAAAAGTTTGTATTCTTGCAACTCTTCTATTTATCTTAAGATTGTACACACTATGAACATGTAAGGCCTATTGTAGGCATACATATATGAAGATATATAGGCCGACTTCCAAAACATACAAATAAATGTTGGATACTGTTCTACTGTGGTATTTAAACTGTTTGTATATGCAGAGTTGCGAAACATTGCAACCATAAACATTGAATATTTTGAATATTCAATATAACAATGAACATCCTTTCGGAATTCACCATCTTCACAACACCAATCGTAACCAAGAACGAAGCATCAACTTTGTTAGTGATGCCCTGATTACTCTAGCGATACGTTTTGATAACTTTTCGGATCCGTTTTAAGGTTCGGCGTTATGGAACATTGAACTTTGTACTTATGCAATGCATTTGATGTTTTGGAAGTCAGCCATATTATTTACACTTACAACTAGTTAGTGCTACATAACACTTTTACTTAAGTATTTATCCACAAATATGGTATTTTACGCATACTAATATATAAAAACATTTTAAAACATATAAATTGATAAGAAATGCCCCATTACAAATAATAATTTTGAAGCGTCATTGTTTGAAAATGCTAAATCATCCAAACTCGAAGCCCAGCACATCTTCCAGTCCGTAGTCAAAAATACGAAAATCATCCATATAAATCTCATAAAGCCGTCGTATTGCACTTATGGGCAAATGCTCAAAGTACAAGCGCAAATGTGCGCGAGTACTCGAAGGTTTGTGACCAGTAGGAAATGTAAAATTATCTGCACCCGCTAAGTGCAACGCCAAAGATGAATCATCCAATAAAGTTTCATATTTACCTATAGAATGAATACTGTTAAAATTTGAGTGAATCATTACATTCGTACTCACCTATTACATTGTACTTCATTACACAGGGGTTGCAGAGATTCGATATAGGTTCCCAGTGCTCATTGTATGACTGATTGGTGCGACTAACCTCCGGCGTTAGCAGGTATTGCACAAATTCCGGGAAACTCACATCATCTCCATGCTCAAGGGAGTGATTTGTGGCGCCGACTCGGAAGGTTTTTACTATCTGTCGGCCAACACGCGACTGAAAATAGCGTGCACTCGCAGACTCTCCCTCTAATTTGTTACGATACGCGGAGAGCAAACGTTCCAATGGATGGCGGACCAATATAAACCGAGTATATTCGGAGAGCACTTGAGCACGTTCCTCATCGCTGAGTGAATGGAACTTCTGAAACATTCCCACTGAGTGCGCCAAAGAGCCAGGTATTTTAAATGGATCAGTGCCATTATGCCAATTGCCAGTGAGGATCATTAGTACCCGCTTCCAATTTGTACAGGCCACCTACATACGTAGCAAATGAAAGGAAACAAATTCGTCATTCATTTGATAATTATAAGGAAAGATGTATGAGTAATGCAAAGTGCATAACAATCGGATATGTATTAAGAGTTAAAGCATAGACGGACTGCAGCGTTAATCCGGATCCACTCGTTAATTTGGAATCTCGAGAAAATAACCAGTGTGACCGCGGGATTGTACAAAATTGTAGCAGAGAAGAGACTTAATGTATCAATATATATCACTTTTTTATTTTAAATATTAAAGTATAAATATGGAATAAAACCAATAATTTTTATGAAAATCCATTTCCAAACCAATTTCACATTTATTGATTCCAAAGAAGGTACACGCAGCAGTTGTACTTGATACTAGTATCAGTGGCAGATAAAGCATTTTATTTGGGGGGCGGCGATTGGGATCAACTTGCCAAATAACGTTAAATTACAGGCATCTAACCCTAATTTATTTTTCATGCAAATATAGGCCCTTATTATGAGTTGCATTCGATTTTCGATCTTCGCTGGTTATCAAAGATCGAACATCGAAAGTGAAATTCGTATTATGAGCTATGCAACCGTGTAGAAATTTTCGTTGAGTATCGAATTTTCTCTCGAACAGAATTTTGCTTTCGATGGTGTAGCGAAGTGTTAGAAAATTGTGAAAAATTTATGATTTTGCATTTGTTTTCTTACTTTTTGGCGGGTAGACACTAATTTAAACAATTTTTATCAATTTCATGCAGTTTTAACGTCGTGACCACAAAACACAAGCTCGAAAGGCTGCTTTTACTCGTGAAAGAAAATCCCAATACTCAATTGGCACGAACTCTGAGAACAAATCATAGAGCTGTGGATAGTTTTAAAATATTTTAAATAGATTTGGCTCACAAACGCCTTTTTAGAAAGTCGGAAGTTTTTAGTAAATCTGTTGACAAATTTCTTAAATATATTTTGTGTAAAAATATATTGTAAAGACTACACTTAAACTCTCTTAAACATTTACTACTCCTGGCAAGTTCACTAAACTCTCATCCTCTGACGAATCGTTGAACCACAGAACTTCGTTGTACTAATTTTTACCACGTTTTTATAAACTTGCTTTCTTTTTTATTTCATTTTAATTTGCATAAATTTACATAAATATGTATTAGCACACTATTTAATTTGCTCGATTTGTAAACAAAGCTTCTCAGCGGTGAAAAAATATACTATTGTGAACAACCTAAACGAGCGAAATTCACAATGGCGCTATTCTTCATCGAATGAGCGCCATAATACCAAATGAAAATTCGTTCGCTCAGCACTTTCGACCACAGTCGAAAATCGAATGCAACTCATAATAGGCGCCATAGGTTCGAGTATTTTTTATGAAGTGTGAAGTAAAGTGTTTTGTGATGTAATATTACTTTTCATTTTGTGAATTTGGTGCAAGGTCTAATAAAACAATTGCATGTACTATTACAAAAAACACAAGATGTAAAGTTAAACCTTGGGTTTATTAATGCAATATATACATATAAATACTTATTTCTT